GGATACCACGTGAAGAACTGCTGCAGTACAGAAGAAAACCCCCCACAAATTGCACACCACTGGTTATGACGTATCACCCCTCCCTTGAACCTGTACGGAAAATCCTCAAACAATTGCAACCCATGTTAGAAAAAGACCCTATTCTTAAAAAGATCTTCCCAGAGCCACCCATCCTAGCCTTCAAACAAGCACCGAACCTTGCTAACCTCATCACCAGAAGCAAACTTCCTCAAGCCCAGAACACACCAAAAGGTTCCAGACCGTGCTATGACAAGAAATGCAAAACCTGCCAACACATCTCCACCACCCCCACTATTACTACACCCCACAACAGGGCCATCAGCATCCCAGGATCTTACAGCTGCACCTCCAGAAATGTAATATACCTCATCCAATGCACCAAATGCCCTGATGGAAAATATGTAGGAGAGACCGAACAACAACTGCGCACCAGAATGAACGCACACCAGAAATCCATCAAAGACAGAAACACCCAATTACCGGTGGGGGCACATTTCTCACGGGAGGGCCACTCTCTCTCCAATCTCTCAGTCCTGATGCTCAAGGGAAACTTACACAACACTTCCCAGACACGAGCCTATGAGCTCCATTTCATCAACCTCCTGGATACTAAAAATCATGGACTAAATATAGATATTGGATTTTTGATACATTATAATCTGCCTGACAACTGACTCCCCAGCCCAGCCTCCGGCTTGTTTCGTTTTCATTCCATCCAGGAAGAGCACACACCAACTGCTGAAACTTCCTTAGCCTGACGAAGGGTTTTTGAACCTGAAAGTTTGCTTAATAACTATTCTCCAACTACTTGGGTTGGTCTAATAAAAGATATCAGATTCACCCAAGAAACGTTGTCTACATTTTTTCTAAAGTGTTGATTTCCATGAAATCTTTCAAAATATATATTCTTTAAAAACAATCTTAGAAATGGTCAATCGATCTTACTCCAGCATTTCAAAGTTCCTCTTTTGTTCAAAACATCTTTTTGTTTTAAAAAATTAATATACAATAAAAATGTAACCAAAAACTGTCAAATATCAAAACATTTTAATTGACCCAACATAATTTTTTTTTGCATTTCTGTTTGCATAATTTTTCACTTTTCAGTTTGGGTCAGGATAGGAACATAATATTCTTGATCTCAAAATTGCTTGCACAACGGTAAATCATTTCCCACCGAGCCCTAGTGAAAACAAAAACTGAAAGGAAAAAAAACTTGCAAGATTGATACAGACACTTATGAGAATCATTTAGCTCAGTGTCTGTTTAAGGTGCTTTTAGAAGTTAAGAAATAAATTTCTCTAAAAGCAATTCTATTGGCAGTAGTTTGAAGAAACCAAAGTCAGTATAAGTGCAAGAAAGTATTCGCTAATGGACATACTATAACAACATACACACATTTACCTTAAGAGAATTACCAGTTTGCAGTTCATTCATCATATCAAGAATCGTATCTGATGCCAAATAAAATGGAAACCATATGGTGTTGATAAGAATACCTCTGGTAATTGGAAATGCAAGTGGGAGAGAATTTGAATGTCTGGCAATTACTTCTACTTCTTGGGTACAGTTCCAAAGTTCTCGGCAAGCATTTTGAAGCAATGTCCAATGGCTACCACGATGAGCAAGAACCTATACATAATTTTTCAAAATATAATTGTATTTTAGAAAAACAAAATTAAAGATCAGAGATTTATTCCTGTTAAAAAGCTTATCTTGAAGTCACCCTTTAAAATATGAGGTTTTGATAAAACTACTCAATAAACTAATAAATGCTAATATATTACTAATACTATTAAAATTCAAATAAATAATAATTAGCAATATTGTAGAACTTTCTATGAACTTCAAAAAAAAGAAATCAAGTAATTGAGCTTCACAGTGAAGCACAGAACTGATAAATCTCAATACACCATCTTAACTTTTGAAGAAGCAGAGGCACAAGCCAATTTATAAGTTATAAGATTTTTTTCCCCAGCTAGATCTGAAAATTGAACCAAGGATCAGATTATATATGACTTTTTTCTGAATTTGACACCACCAATAATGAAGACTGACGCTCATTTGCACGTGGAATTTAAATAGTTCGGTTGATGTGTACAGCAAAATAGAAATAGTAGCTAAATAAGATTGGACTTGAGACGCATCAATCATTTTATGAGGTACCAACTGAAATCCTGGCAGAAAAAAGGAAAGCCTTTCCAATGAAAACTAACTTCTGCCATTGGTTCAAGTTTTGCTTCCAGCTACTTGGCCACAGAGCAGGGCTGCAGAGCAAAGGTAAAAGCCCCTGTCATGGAGCACAGCTGAAGCTCCAATTCTGTAAGCCAGATCCAGCCCACAGACCATTTGGTTGTTGACCCCTGATATACAGTATATGAATGTTTTCCTTAGGATGAAAAATCACTGGACTTTCCCTATTTAAATGCTTTTAAGGAAATGGGGGATGTATTTATTCATTTTTTCAAAAGCTGTAGCATAATAGAAAACATCTTAATTCAAAGTTGTATCTTACCACTGCTCTTCTTAAATACAGAAAGGTTTTTGTGAAATGCTCTAACAAACTGGCACTGGATGCAGATTGGTCAAATTCTTTGGTGGAAATTGGAAGAGATAATTCTGAATTTGTCATTTGAGTTCGAGGAGTATCTACTTCATTCATTTTAACACTGTTCTCAGAAGATTTACCATGATCTGAAGGTGAAAAGATCATTGGAAAATTAAAATTGAGTTATAGTTCTCAAAAAACATATGAAAATCCTGATTACCAAAGAGTTAAAGTTTTGTTACACTTAAATGGTCAGAAGTGAGGAAATGGTAAAGCTAACGAGATAGTAGTTAGAACACCAGAATACGTTTTCACTGGGGTGGGGATGGAAGAACTGGTTTAAACAAAATAGTGGTATGCCCACGACTTTCTTTGGGTTCCTAATCAAACTCACTTTTTTCTTCAGTTCATGAGCCTTCCTTCCCTGAAGAGCTGAAGCTTTTAGGAAAATGGCCTTTCATCGGCTTCCCAAAATTCCTCTGGTGGCAATTTGAGGGGAAGTGAGGGGAAAGGATTTATTTTTCCCTTTGTGTGAAGTTTAAATGTGTTAATAGAGAACCTGGTGGCTGATGCCTCAGTCCAGCAAAATTAAGACTAAGATTAAGGAAATGCCAGGGGTGGACTGAATGAGCCAAAACATTTTCTAGAAGTGACTTCCAAGCCAACTCATATATCTTATATATTGTGATATCAAGTTGGATATTCTCTGAGATGCTTTAGGTTCCTTTTTAATCCTCCTAAAATAAGCCACAAAGAGTGGTAAAGATACCTAATTCCACCAAGATGGATCTCAACATAAACCAAAGGTACATATGCCTCCCAGTTCTCCCAGTTGCATATATTCAGAGTGTGCACTTTGTTATGGCTTTCTCCGTGTTGTGGTTTTGAGAAAAATACAGGAAAATAAATGGGTCAATTAACATGAAACTGTAAGATTATCTAATTAAGGGAGAAATTTTAGGTATAGAAACATGGAAATACTGTCCTTAGGAATGACAAATGTAAGGACGCTTTGTTATCATGGTAGATATTTGACTCACCTATCTAAGATGAAGGACATCACCACAGAGATGCAGAAAGGGACATGCAGTGATAGGCTCAAAGGCTGCTTACAGACATAAAAAATCGTGCTTAACTTTAAACTCTGCACACCCCAGCACCAAACCCAGCACCTGCCCAGAACAGGAATTAGTTGGACCTGGTCTGCACAACGTCTGCATAGATCGGGCACTTCAACAGAGCTTTTTGGCACTTTTATCTAATAGATGATGAAATCAACGTTGGATAAAAGCACCAAAAAGCCCTGCTGAAGTGCCCAATCTATACAGACGCTGCAGAGCCAGGTACAACTAACGTGCTGTTTCTTCTGGTAAAGCACATTTTTCCCCTGCATCTGTCACCCATAAAATTAGAGAGAATGAGGTTTCATTGATTTATTTATATGCCACCCTTCCCAACAAAGGGTCAGAGAAGCTTACACTGAAGGCAAAATAATTTATAAAACAGTAGAATGAGCGATAAAACAGAACAATTTAAAAGAGAACTAGAGTATCAACATGAAACAGAAATACCCTAAACAATATCCCAGCCTAGCTTTGTTTGCTAAACACTTGCAGGGTCAAGCTCTGGTGGACTTCAAAGAGGAGGGAGTTCCAGAGCTGAGAAGCAACTGCTGAGAATCATCTCCCATGCATTTTCTTTTAAGTCTTATAACGGGGCAGGTTCCCTAACAGGATTGCAGTAACCTTTACAACTCCTTTGACTATGGGGTGAAAGAATACAAAGAAGTTTTAGTGCCCTGGCAGTATTAATTTAATTGTACAATGGGAGCTGAGGAATTTTATCCTGGATCACAGTAAACTGCATGTCCTGCAGTGCCAGACATACATGGCAGGACATGTGATTTTTGAGATCCAGGACAAAGCTCCTCAAATCCTACTGCAGGTCAGCCAATACAGGGGAAGCCCCAGATCAAGGACCCAGTTCCCAATCCATGGCTCTGCTGGTACCTAGAATTTTAAAGATTCTCCAGGCAGCCCAGCACTGGGGAATTGGTTCCCCAATACCAGGCTACATGGTACGCCTCTCAAATTGCCAGACTACACAGAGCCTGGGATCACAATTTCAGACACCCTGCTGCTGATGCACCCTGGCACTGGAGAACCCCATGCTGGACTTCATGGCATGCTTTTCAAAGGGTAGGATATGGCTGTGTCCTGGATCCAGGGGTTGCCTGTTGACTACTTGTGTTCCTGAACACACGAAGCCCAAGATCAGGAGGGCAGCTTCTTGATCTCAGATACCCCAACTACCAGCATGTTCAGAGGCCATGTGTTCAGCCCAGCTACATGTATGCCTTTTGAACATGCTAGGGGAAGAGTCCCAGATCAGGGAGCAGCTCCCCAATCTCAGGCTCCCCCAATCCATCTGGCATGTTCAAAGGACACATATGCAACAGAGTTGCACATGGGCACAGGGAGCCCGAGGTCAGAGAGCAGCTCCCCAATCTCAGGTACCTGTCCCAGCATGCTCATGCCACCTATTCAAATTAAAGTATGATACAAACCAGCCACAAATATGTTCTACATAAATATGGAACATCTTTGTGACCAATTTGCAATTTTATAACACCACAAATTGCATGCACATATGAGATTACTATTTATGCTACGATTAAAAGCATTAATGGAAGCAAAGGGAGAAACTCTTGCACTTTGAGAGGGAAGTACATCTTGTAGAAGGCTCTTTTATTATTTATAAATGATAGTTGGGTTCCATCAACTACTCATCACTGACCACAAATCATCTGTTCAGGTTGTCTACTGACATGTCCTCTATACCAAAATGCGTTTTCAAAATTCCCCACAGTTCTGCAATAGATCACTGAAGGTTCAAGAGATTGGGCTGGGAAGCAATGCACCACAATTGCCAAGCTCAGTCGTCTGCCTTTATGTCAGTCTTTAGGATAGGGTAGGGGTTCCACAGCAACATAAGTGATATGAAAGTGTTCTGTGACATTAAAAAGTTTGAAAACTATGGATCTATACCAAGAAAGTAAATTACAGCTGTTGTACTGTCTGATATCACGTGAACAACTTGTCTTGTATAGACAGACCTTTTATGCATTTTGAATGGCACTTCATTTCAATATACATAGGTGTGATAAGCCTATGCTTGGCTGGTCCAGTTTCAGGCCTCAGCTACAAATTATCAGAGCTCAGGCTGAGTCATCCCTAAGGGGTACAGGTACAGGGCCCTGTCCACTTAGGCTTTATGAGCCCACAACGGACAACAACAAGCTGTCCAAGGAACAGATTTGTGCTCTTTGCGTGAAACTCCTCTAAGTCAACTTCAGCACTTGATCCTGACTTTGACTTCAGCTCTGTAACCCTGGCTTGTGACATCTGGCTCTGACCACTGGTCTTGGATCCTCCTACCTGTTATGGATTGCTTCTGTTGCAGACTGCTTCTGTTCCTGCCTCCTGCCTGTTAAGGATTGCTCCTGTTCCTCTCTCTTGCCTGCTTCTGTTTGCTTTTGTTCTGGATTCCTTCTATTCTTGCCTCGGACCTCTCAGCTTGACCAAAGGCTTGCTCTGACTATGATCTCATCTCAACCTTTGACTTGATGTCTTGGATTCTGACTGATACTTTACTTCTTTCAAATGCAGAATTCTCCCTGTTTGAAGAGGTAACTCCTTTATTTTACAAAGGACCATCAGAAATTGGACCTCCTTTTGAAATACGCTCTTGTTAAAGGAGTCTTTAAATAGAGATGGGAATGGGTATATGGGTGTGTAACAAAAAATAGTATTATATAACCCTTTCTCCATGGTCTTTAACATCCAATGTTCTGAAATTATTTTGGACCAGGCATGTTGGAAATAAGCTAACCAATGGCTAGCCAATGGTCAAAGATAAGAATATGAAAAGCAGTCCTGAAGAAAGAGGTGAGTTGATTATGCACAGAAAGTCAAATTTTCTGGTTGGGAGATCATGGGATTTGATAGCTGTGGATGAAAAATGCTTCATCTTGAAGAGACTATGCCCCTTTGCTACAAGCTCTGGTCCCCTGTATTGGTATTATGAAGGTTGCCTTAAGTACATGTGTAGCCTGATGTGCTTTTTCAGAAGCCTTGAGATAAAAACTCCTAAAGATCTGAACATTGCTTTCAAGTTTTTAAGGGAGTCTTACTGCACCAGCACTTTATTATAAAGTACATTACAGCTTTAAAATGGCAAATCGTGTTGGTGGGAGTGCCCATAAAGCTAATCAGGAGGAAAAGACGTAGTGGTTACAAATACAATTGCCCTAAAATCTGCTGTCCATGTAAAAAGAAGTCTTTGAGACAGGCTGGCCTTCAGCTAAGGTAAATGTAACTGATGTCTCTATTCCATTAGTCATTCATCAAAATGATAGTGCAGGGCACTCCAGTTTACATAGGCCTATTTGCTAGCATTTCTTTAACATTTGTGATTCTTGTCCACTGGTTCAGTGTTTAAATTTCTGCTGAAGAGATTCAGACAGTTGAGCTCTTTGTCTTTAGGAGCAGATTTTTGCCAGCTTTGTCAAGGCCTCTCATTAGTGGCTAACTACAAGGGATTGTGGTACTGGGTAAATGGAAAAATCAATCAATCAAAGCCAGGTGACAATGCTCAATCCCACTTATCTGCATAATTAAGATGGTATTAATGAGCCTGGCATCTACTTTACAATCAAGTCAAGGTCTAATAATTGTTTATTTATCAGATTTGCTAACTGGTTTACTACCAACGTGTGCAGAAAATGCAGAAGCTTGTACAGTCTTTCCTGTACCTTCTCAGTGGGAATTTTGTGAGTTGCTGCTACTTTCCACAGTAAATCCTGAAAAACTTTATAATCATCAGGAATTCAAGAAATTAGCTTAGGTATCACCACCTCATTTGGAAATAACAATGAAATATTACCTGAAGCAGGTTGTTCCATTTCATAAATCCCTTGAAGAAGTAGGAAAAGACCCTGACTTTGATCTTATTTGATAATCCCTACCTAAAGTGCTATGAGGAAGTTAATATGAGAAAAAAAATAAGTGAGCAATCAAGTCCCCTATGATAAAGTCCCCCCACCACATACAAAATGGATCTTGAAAGTTATAAAATGCCAGCAGCCAAAAATGAATGTTGATCGTAATCTAGATGATGTTTATATGAGCCAGTACCTTGTTCATGGTGTGCACACAATTGAGTGCCTTTTCCTGAGGTAAGAACAGAGGAAAAAGGGTCCTGGGATCTTACTGACCACAGTTGTTCCTCAGACTCAGAGGATGCCACAGAATAGTAGTTTAGGAAGGGAGGTGCTGATTGGCTTCTCACTGATGGTGCTTCTGTGCTTGGTATCATAAAATTAGACTGTGCAGGTGCTGAAAATGGGAAACTCAAAGGAATGAGTGGTGAGTATTGTATCAATTCCATGAAAAAATCTCGTGGGATCCCAGTACAAAAGCGCAAGCAAAGCTATAGAAAGCAGGAAAGCCAACATGCAGAATTTTGGTACCAATCAGTGTGATTTTGTTAAAGCCTGTGCCAAAGATGAAGATACTTGTGGCTGGATGGACATTGGTACCAACAAAGAGCTGAATGCTGGTACCAGTACCAAAGACACATGCTGTTGAAGAGTGTGTACCACAGAAATTAAAATGGCATAAACAACAACTGGAGATAGCTGAATCAAATGCAACTAGACCAGTACTGAAGGTAGTGCTCACTGCTGCCTTCTGATGTGGCTTCAACTGTGGGCTGGCAAAAGATAACCCACATTTTGGTGTGGTCCCCTCTCCCCCTTAGTAGATCTATGCTTCGTTCTATATTGATTTAGTAGGAGATTTCAGATATCAATAGGACATGCAAACGTCACAATGTTTGTGGATGTGACCTTCCCAGAGTCAAAATAAAAATCTCATGTGACCATCATTCAGGAATAGCACAATGGTACAAGTATAGGACTGAAGGAACAACTCTGTGTTCCGGGTCATGGCAATGAATAGGGCAACACCAGTTATATGTGCGTGCCCTCCCCCCCTCTCCACCTCCCAAAAGCAGCAGCCCCAGTCACCCCCTTCAGTTATACTACTGGGCAGAAGATAGGCAATGCTTAAGCCTGAGACACCTATGATCAGACATTAGGACCAGTCAGAACTGAATGGAAATTCAGAGAAATAAAAATAAATAAGATTCCTATGTTCCTATGTATTCTCCCCATAATTTTCCTGTCAAGATCTCACCTCAGTGCTAAGAACTTCTCTTAACAAAGACTGTGGAAGACTATGAAGAGAAAATTCTACTGGCCAGTACTGCTACAAGCCCCCATTATTAGGAGGAAAAAAATCATTACTTTTGACCTCTGGGAAAACTAGGGGATCTCACCCAAACATCTCTGTAAGGAAGTAGAAGTGATTTGCTTGTGTTACATAATGAATCAGTAAAGAAGCCAGAAATAGAATCCAGGGTTCTTCTGACTTCCAATCCATTCAAACCATACCATATTCATCCATATTTCTACCTATATGAGCTGGTTTGTAAATCCAGGCTTGTTAAATAGAGTAATAAAGAAAGCTAGGTTAAACAGATTCAGTTTCTTTATCCATTCCTAATTCTTACCGGTTATTCCTTTGGTGATTTCTGAATGTGATTTTTTAAGCAGTGGATAACTTGGTGCTCTTAAGTTTACATCTTGTCTTTCCCGTACCACTATGATACCAGAATTATTTAATGAGAAAATTTCAGGGTCTAGAACATCATAACTGCAGGTCATAATAAAAAAAAAAAAAAAAAAAAAGATTAAAAAAGCTCTAGGTACTGTGTTACAGCAGACTGACTGACTTACTTTCTTAGCTGATTTAAATGATACCCTACCCAGCAAAGGTTCATGGCAGCTTACAGTCAGTAGGGACCTACCCAAATCAAGGACGTGGGCAGCCGATTTTGCACACAGATCACGAGACCAGCCACCATTTTCATGGGCTTATTGCAGTGTCCCTCACCCCCACACACACCTCTGATTGGCCAAGGGGCCCCACTCGCCCTGCCCCTCACTATTGATTGGTTACAAGGACTGTCTATCATGTGGTCCTGCCCCTCACCACCTATTCGTGGAGAGGAGGAAAGGAGTGGGACTGCATTATACGCATCCCTCAGCTAATCAGTGGCAAGGGGCAGGGGCAGCAGCCATCTTGGCTGCTCCCCTTCATGCTCACTGGGGAGGCAGCATTTTATTTTTAGTAGGGGTTTTGTTTGGGGTTTTTTTTGCAGGTTTCATGGACATTGCCTGACTTCACAGACAATGCCTGATTTCACGATTTCCATGAAATCCACAAAATCACGAATTGAGTAGGTCCCTAACAATTAGAGACAAAATCATTATGAAAGCAGGTAAAAATAAGATAAATAATAACTTCCAAATAAATATCCAGAAAATTAATTCTACCAAAATTTAATTTTGATCATTCATTTGCATACAGGAAAAGAGCCATCATGTAACCAAACTGACTATGCCATTGTAACTCATATTAAAAATATGAGTTAGGTGTTAATCATGCAGTCAATATTTTAAACATTACTGTATATATAATATTATACCCGTTCAAATGTTGTAAACTGCAAACTCCAATATTATGTTGATCTTCCAGCTTCTTCTTAAACAAACAGAACTGTGTAATTGCCAGATAAATATTCATCTGAGACCTCCAGGGCATCTCCTCAAGACATGCTTGATGGAATTTTTTTCGTTTTAAGTGATTACTAACAACTGGATTCAATAGTGTTACCAGGGTGTGAAAAGCTACTTTTTGTAACTCCTCTTGCATTTTCCTAAACAAAAATATGTTAACAGTGTTGTACATTACCAGAGCTAGACCAGGGCTTTAAAGCAGTGCAGGAAGAGAAAATGATGTGACATGTGTACACACCGTTGCATATCAACAGCCTTCCACTACCTCATAAACATATTATGCCTTTCTACAGATTGTATAATACTGAACCAAGGCAGGCTACATTTTTCTTTTGCAAATACATTTACATCCTGATATATTCTAAACTAGGGGTTCTCAAACTGTGGTATGCAGACCCCTGGGGGGTACGCAAGACATCTGTGGGGGGCACACAGGAGAAAATGTGTAATGACAGATTTTATTTTCGTTATAATAATTGGCATTTAAGTGGTAAAATATAAAACATATGCTGGTAGATGTACATGGGCAGGTAGTAAGTCTGGAAGGGGGTGTGCAATAAGAAAAAGTTTGGGAACCTCTGTTCTATAGCAGACTAATCAAATCCCTCCATCTCATCTCATTTGTTACTCATTTTTACAAGTTTTGCTTGAGAATTTTGCTTTGTATTTGGAGCTACTTGCACCTCTGTAATTAAAATAGACCATAACAAAAATTATTATACATAAAAAGGAATCAGGATACACTATATTTTCTTTATATCCAATACCAGTGGATTTTGGAATGTCATAAGCTCCTACCAAATTAAGGGTAGTGTCTCAAAACTAAAAAATAGGGCAGTCAAATCTATCAATATTTGGGCAACCTACTTAAAAATAGACACATGTAGAAGTTCTCATTATTTGAAAAAATAAGTTTTCAAAGCACAATACTGAAATTCACTGAAGTTATCATTCATGGACTGAGGAGGAGTCAAAATACCAAATTTGGTATTTACAAAATCTTTTTAAAGTATGATGTATAAGATACTTTTATAAGCTATGTTTCTTTGACGGATTTTGTATCTAAACTCCACAAGTAAAGGGCTTGTGTCTGCAGTTACGTGTAGAGAGGCTAATTCCAAAAGACGTTTTCCTGACAGAAGTTTTTTGAAAGAGGCATTAGGAGGGTTAACTCCTGATGTTGGTCCTAAAGTAGGACCATGGGCCTAGAAAGGTCATTGAGTCTAGTCCCGTCTTCTCATAGGCAACCATATCATATAATACCTTCCATAAATGAATTAGAAAAGCTCCTAAATGCAGTTAGAGGTGTTGATGTCAAAAAATATATAAATTTGGCTGACTGTTCTATAGTGTCCCCCACAAACAATTAGAAACCTTCTCTGAAGCTCCAGTCTGAAGTTATTTAGGGCAACATGGGTAAAGAATAGGAAAACTTTTCCCAAGTTTCTCTGTAAATAAGGTAATGATACACTATAATAGAATCAAATAATTCTTCTTCCTATTCATCACCTTGCTAATTTTCATTGAATTATTTTATACAAAGATCTAATGATTTGAAGGTATCAGCCTCCTGTTTAAGAATACTAAATTTACATGAATCTTACTGATCATAGTCTCATATATTTTAAGGCCAGAAGGAACCATTACATCATCTAGTTTGATCTCATAGGCCTTTATATTTCACCCGGTTACCCCTTAACAGAGCCCAATAACTAAATTATGTCTGACTAACATAACTTGCAGAATGACATCCATTATTGATGGGACAACATAAGGAAATAGAGGATTTACTGTTTTCCTTAATAGTTTGTTCCAATTGCTAATCACCCCCACCGTTAAAAAAAAAGTATCTTATTTCCAATTTGAAAGCGTCAAGCTGTAGCTTTCATCCATCATTCATATTATGTATTTTTTCCTAGATTAAAGAACCCTTCAGTACCTGCTATTTTCTCCATATGAAGATGCTTTTATCCTTTAACAATGTCATCTCTCAATATTTCTGATGGCAAGCAAAAGAGACTGAACATTGAATGATGGAAATTACAGAAATTCTCTCCTTAGACTCTTGAAAACCTAAGCTTTCCAGTGCAACTTCAAAAATATTAGCCTTCACCTAAACAAGGCTTTCTGTTGTGGTAAACTAATTTGATTGAGTTAACACAAGTGAAAAAATACTACTCTTCTGAACCATCAGGCAAGGCCTCCAAACATTCTCTGAATTTTACAATATTATTATCAGGATCCTAAAGCAGTTTTTTTCATAGGATCTGAAGCACACATTACACCATTCAAGAGTCTCAGAGAAAAAGGTAATCTGTGATTTTGCTGTTATAGAAAACCCTTTCTGGATCTTGTTCATTTTTACATGAATTTAGAAACAACATACTTATTTATAAAATAAAACTTCTGTTAAAATTAATTATGCTTCTGTGGAATGAGCTCAGGGAATTATCAATCTGCAAATTTACCTTTGTGCTTCTGGAGACTTCCCTCGGATACTGCGGCGTTTCACATAATATTGTCTGAGAGTGTCCTTTCTTCTAGTAGGGGTAACTATTTCCTTTCTTGGGTTCTTCAAAGTTGGGGTTTCCGATTTCTTTAAAATAACATAAATATAAAGTCAGGATTCCAAGATTAACTCTGGGTGCTGACAGATGTACAGCTCCCCAGTCTAACTCATGGCACTTCACAGAAAACGCCATGAGTTAGACTGCCCCCTCCCCCTCAACCCAACAGATGTTCCCTGTTGGGTTGCAGTGAGGGGGAATAGAGCTTCACTTTGGAGCCAATCCAGCTGAGGAGCTGCCTGCCTGTAGCCTGTCTCCCCTAGCTCCACCCTCTCTCAGCTCCTGTGCTACCTGCAGGATGGCAGGGGGAGAAGGGAAGGGGAGGGAGCAGGATGGGGTGTGCCAAGCCTGAGCTGGAGTGGGGATGAGTGGACTGGAGTCCCTCTGAGATGGGATGACTCCAATCTACCTGCCCCTGCTCCAGCTCAGGCTGGGCACATCCCAGCCTGCAGCTCCCTCCCATCTTGCAGACAGCCCTGGGGGTGCAGCTGGGTTGCATCAGCCTAGCCCTGCTCACGCTCAAAGACTTACAGAATTTAATGAAGGTACTCCACTTTGGAGTGCCTTCATCTGAACCCTCACTTAATGAGGATTAATTTATTGTGCAATTGGGCACTTTTAAAGCACTCTGAAGCCATGTACTTCTGTCAGAGCATGGCTGTAAAATGCTTTCAAGGCACTGATCACATGACAAATGCCACTTCTATCAGCTCCCACAATTTCACTTATCGATGTATTTCCATCACTGAAATCATCATTCTTTCTCCATCACTGTAAACATGAGAAGACCCACGATTAAGATGCCACTGGTGCTGACCCACAGATGATGGTGGGGATTGGGGTGAAGCTACAGCTCCTAGGCCAGCAGGGGACACCAGAGGGAGGGGAGACCAGGCAGAGGTTGGAAAGAGCCTAGGCCAGGGCAGAGGCAGCCCTGAGGCTCCCCCTGCCCCAGTACCCAGAGAAGCCAGACAATGGTGGCATATGGCTCCCTCTTTCCTTCCCTTTTCCCGCCCAGCCCCATCAAGTGTCCCCCAGTGGTCAGTGTGGGGAGCAGCTGTACAGGCAGCCCCCTCCCTGTGCCTCCTCCCTGCATGCCCCCACCCCTTCATATATGAGGACAACTGGGAACAGGAGCAGGAAGAGGGAACTTGCCTGTTGCTGTCTCTGTTTCCAGTCAAGCCTGGCACCCCACATAGCTGGAACACAGTAGAAAGGGCTCAGGGGCTCCCCTCCCATTCTGCACCTAGGTCATCCAGGGACAGCAATGGTGGCAGATAGATTTACCCAGAGACGTAATGAGCAGGATTTGCACCCTCAATAAAAGCTGTGGGGTGGGGGGTGGAGAGAGGACAAGGTCCTACCTACTCCATGAATTCAAAACCAGTTCCTAGGTGTTGCTGCTGCTGCCATAGTGGAGTCTACCTGCAGGGAAGTTTGGACAAGATCCCCTGGTTTTCCATGGGGCCAAAAGTAATGATTGAGGTCCTCTTTTACAACATCTGGATGCTGCTGCTGCTGGACTCTGCAGGGGCGAGGGAGCCATTCTGGTGCCCAAACTAGGTTGGCACCTGGGGCTGGTGCCTTGCCTGCTCCCCAAATTATGGCACTGGGTTCATCCTTGCTGTGTCTGCTCCCCATCCAATACCACCCCATCCCCAGCTGTCCCTGCCAGGCCAGTGCTTCCCGCCATGCCTCACCCTCCCACCCCTGTCATTGTCTGATATCAGTACCTGCCTGGACTCTTCCAGAGACCCAGGCATCTGGGGCTATGGAGAACAGGAGCCACTGACATGCCTTCCACAAGATGGCAGTGCAAGGGAGATGCAACTGCACCACTGTAACCCCCTGGATCCACCTCAATTGTAAATTATTAATTTTGGTACTGTAAAATTTCAGACTTTATTTCTTTATTTAAATTGCAATAAATAAGAAAAAAAAGAAAAAATTCAGTAAGATTGTACCAAGATAAGAAATTTCTAAAGAAAACCTATGAACACTGAGGGCCCTTGCAGTCCTATATTTCTAAAGAATCAGTTACATAAATCGCTTTTAACTACAGCAGGATGTAGACATTTTGGGACACAAAAATATTTTTCAAAGACCACTAAAATTCCAATGAGAATATCTTAGCTGTTCACATTGTGGGAAGATAATGTCTTACAGGCTTTCACTTCTTTCTTTTTTTTTCACTATACACTAGCATTTGGAACCTCATTACAGTATCCTTCAGTGATTTTTAATTTTTTTTTTACAAATTGCTTGAAGATATGGAAGACAGACTTTAATTAAGCTATGGGAATATGTTCTTTCAAGAGACTACTCTATGAATGCTTGGGTAGAAACATATAATGATCTCTTATCTTTAACTATCAGTACAGTGGACATTAGGGCCCCCTCTACACATGCAGGTAAAGGCGCAATGGGATCTAACGAGCAATTCTCACAATAGCACCTCCTGCCATGCCACATGTGTATGGCAGGAGGTGCAATTGTAAGATCATACATTAGAATACATTGTACCTTATTACTGGTGCAAGGGGACCCAATTTTGGGCTCCACCTGAACTAGCAGAAACAAGCTCCCACAGTGGGCAGCCCCATGCACCCCAGGTGAGGGGCTCCAAGGTGCGGGGGCATTCCACAGAGCCCCAGGGCTGGAGGATTGCCACTGCAGAGATCTCCTTGCCCCAGGGGTGCAGGAAATCCTCGGGGCTGGAGGATTGCTGCTAAGTGATCCTCCAACCCTGAGGGTCTAGGAAATCCCTGAGGCCAGAGGATCACTGCAATCCTCCAGCCTCAGGGTGCAGAGAGCCCTAGGGATTGCAGCTACTGCATGGAAACCCCCACACCCTGAGGATTGTAGCTGCCATGCTGGGCATGGTGCATCCAGCAGCAGGAAAGTCCCTGCTACACATGGAAATTCAGGCTTGATAGCAACCAGCTCTAAAGTGAGTACACATTTTCAAGGTCTAATTTTATAGCTGGTTGGAGCTTTTTATCTTGTGACAGCTACTTTCCACATGTAGCTGGTCTCCACTTAATTGTGTAATACCTGTAACATGTACAGTGGACCTAAAAGTCTTCTTCCACAGCTCCATCCTCACATATTAACATGATTTATAGATGACCTGCAACAACTAATTACGATAGAATTTTGTACTGAAAAAGTTAATTCTGGCTGTATTCCTGTGTAAATTTAGCTAATTTGAAGTAAAAACATTCATGATGGGAATTAATCAGGAATAGCTTTCCCTGTGAACAAGCCTTCAGAGTGGAACACAAGATGTACTGATGTATAAAGACCTATATGGGACAAACTGCTCTGTTTGGAAAATAATTTATTTCTGTGTACAAGGCTGCCATGAAAATGATTCATACCAGAACCTTGTCTTTTTCTAAAAAAGCTGATGACAGGATAGCCTTCAAAAACTTTGAAATTCACTACCTGCCTTGTCTAAAATTGGCTTTTAGGGCATTAGAAAAGCCTAACTCTTTCC